TCTGGGAGCGCCACGACGCCCCCGCCAAGGCACTTCCTCGCTGGCTGCGCGTGTGCCTCCTCCCCGTCGGAAAGAATCCTCCTTGGGAATGGGAACAGGAACTGCCCCGGGAGCTCAGCAAAGAGCTCAGGAGGCCATGGGCTTCCTCAAGGAGCAGCAGCGGAGGAAAGCTGGTCCCGCTGGAGGGGGAAGCAGCACAGTGGGCTGGAGGGGGCCATCAACACCCACTTTGGGCATTGTCCCTCTGGTGTGATACCCACAGCCTGGGCTGGGGTGGGAAGAGGCTAGGAACTGGCAGTGAGACGTGGAAGCTCATCCCTGTGCTTGAGTGTCTGTTGCAGGCAGCTCAGCATCAGCCCGTGGAGAGGGGCAGAGAGGTTTGTGTGCTACAAGCAACTCCTCTGGCAGCGCTGAGTTTGTCCCACAGGGTGGGTGATCTCCCTGAAGGATCACTGGGATAGGGTAGCCCTTGGCTGTGCCCCCTTCCCTGGCCCACACCCCACCTATTTATGGCATCTCAGGAGCTATAAACGTTTGTTTACTGCTGGTGGAGGCTCTAAGGAGCCCTGTGCAGGCAGGCAGAAAGTCCCAGGGCCCTGGCCGCGCCAACAGGAAGGATTTATTTTTGCTTAGTTTTTATTTTAGCTACAAACAATGGCTGTTACTCCCTGCATCCGATTTCCCCCCGGCCCCCCTTGCCCCCAGCCTTCACCTGGCTCAGGAGGAAGCGTGGCTGGGGGCAGGCATTTCACGGCTGCAAGATGGGTGTCCCTGTGCCCCTTCTGCTGCAGCAGCCTCGCAGCGTTTTGGTGTTGTGAAACAGCATCTCCCCTCCCTAGGGCTGCATTTCAGATTGCAGACCTTCTCTGCCTGGGGTGACAACTCCGCGTGCATTGTCTTGTCTTTTCCCCCTGCAAAAGCTGGGTCTGTACAGCAGGAAACTCCTGCTTTGGCTTGGCCAGAGTCTTTTCCTCCTCCTCCTCTTCCTCCTCTCTGCAGGTTGCTGGAGCAAGACCTGATTTCTTGCTCCTGTGATGGAGCAGAGGCCGGGGAGGGGGGAGATGGGCTCTGCAGCTGCAGGCTGTGCCTGGACCCTTATCTCTGCACTGTGGAATCGGGTCCCAGAGGGAGTGCTGATGGGGTCTAAAAATAGAGCTGGCCTGGGTGCAGGGTGGAGAGATGGTGGGGTGCTGGAGGGGACATAGCTCCTCTGCCAGCATCATCCATGGTACTGCTTCTAGGGCAGGCTTTAGCAGCAGAGGAAATACTGTCCTGTTGTCCCAAAGAGCAGCAATGTCCTGGTTCTAGTACTGTGGCTCACCTCATCCCAGCAAAGCTGCCCTGGGACCTCCCCAGCCCACCCAGCCTGAGTTAGCTAATGCTAAAGCCATCGGCTCCTTGCCTCCCCAGGCTCAGAGACCTCGCTGACATCTCCCCATCCCGCCACGGCAGAGGGGCGGGCTGCAAGCGTGCAGAGGAGTGAGTTTCTGGGAGGGAAGGCTGTCCTGGGATATCTGTGCCCAAAACCTGAGCCCAGCATAGTGATGCAGCCCCACAGGATTCAGTTGCAAGAGAAGGCCCAGAAGAAAGCAGCAAGTGGGAGCCATTTGTCAGCACCAGAGGTGTCTGGTACATGAAGTGGTAGGTCTGCAGGTGGGGGACACAAAGTCCCTTTTTGGCTGCATCATCTGCTCAGCGCCTGTGGCTGCTCTCATGTCGTGCTGCCTTGCCCCCAGGAACCCTCTGATGTCCCGCAGCCACCTCTGTCCCCTGGCTCCATGGTTTCACTGCGTGGTTGCCAGAACCCACAAGGGCAGGTGAGTGTGCCCACCCACAGCAGCGCCCATGCTCAGCACAGGAGCCCAGTCCCCTCCCCACCACGGTGTGGGCAGGAGTGCCAGCTGGTGCGGGGTCTGTGCTCGCTCCCACCAACTCCTGCAGAAGTGATGTGCTGGTCCCTGCTCGCACAGGTGACCTTGGGTGGGCCACATCAGCCCCCACTGCCCTCCCCACAGCAATCCTGGAGCAATCCTCCCTTGCTTCCTGCAGCAACCCCATTAACCTTCTTTAGGCTGGAAGCCTAACGAGTGTAGGAAATTAATTCCTTCCGTCCCTCCGCTCCCCCAGGGCAGAGGCTCGGCTCAGTGGGCTGTGCACCCTCCTGGGATCACAGGCCTCTTTGACTGACACCACCCCCCCGCCCCGCCTTGTATTTTGGAGGATGTTTAACAAGGGAGATGGAGGGGACAGCTCAGCCGGGGGGAAACAAAGCGCCTTCAGTGCTCACCCTGCGCTGTGCTCTGTGTGTCCCAGCTCAGAGCTGGCGTTCAAGGCATTGCTGATGAGCTCACCCGCCTGCCATGCCGGGCACAAACTTTCTTTATCGGGCTCTCTTGATTCTTGTGGGGGGTCTTCTCACCACCTTCACCACGCGTGCCGCCTGCTTTGCCACTATTAATAGAAACCCATTTGCCCTTTTGCCTTCGTCTGGTCTGAAGCCTTGACACAGGAACTGGTGGCTGTGATGGGAGATGTCCTGCATATGGCAGGGGATGGGGATGCTGGTGAGCGCCATGGCCTAGGCTTCGGTCTGCTGTGGAAAGTTGTGTGTATGGTCCCCAAGCCCTGCAGGAAAGGATGTCTCACCTGGCCTGGAGACCACCAGGATCTCTGCCCTTCTTTCCCCCAGTCCTGCCTCTGCAGAGGAGCAAGGAAAAGGCCATGGGAGCCAAGTGCTTACCCTCACTCATCACACACATGAGGCTTTTGGGTGGCCAGAGCAGTTCCCTGCCCCAGGAGGTTCATCCTGGAGGGAGGCAGTGAGCAGAGCATCTGCAAGACCTGAGTCCTGGGGCTGCCTGTCTGCTGTGGGGTGTTTTTCCAGCTCAGAAAGTAGGAGCCCCACACCCCTGTGGTTGCTCTTTTTTCCCCTGCAGGCTGGGCGATGCTGCCAGCTCCTCAGGCTTGCTTGGTCCTTCTGGAGCTGTGTGGAGGCTTCTTCCCTTGCCTGGGGCTACCTCTTCTGGTTTGGCCTGCCTCTGGGAGATGGGCACTGGCAAAGCTGCTCTCGCTGAAAGAGATGAGGCTGCTGTTTAGCTTGGCGCTGAGGAGGGAGGAGGAAGCAGAAGGTCTGTGAAGATAGAAGCCCATCAGCTGGGACAGCAGGAAGAGATTTGTGAGCTGCATCCTGCCTTGCGTCCTGGGGAGGTGGTGATTTGAGGCCGGGCACGCTGCTTCCTTGCCTAGGGGCTAGTCTTGGCTGGGTGCTGTTCCACATCAACCCACTTATGTTGGGCTCCCCTTCAGACTAAAACCTTTGAAACAGCAGTTGGTTCTACTGCTGCTTTGGACAGCAGTGCCAGCCTGCTTCCCGCTGGACCCAGGAGACTTACTCCATGCTCTGGGCCATGGCTCGCAGGAGTGGAAAGTGGGCACCCAAAATCCTGAGTCAAACCTTTAGCAGCCCAGTTTGCAATGAGTGTTGGGCCCAGCAGAAGCTCTTAAAGAGCATGAGTAACAAGGATCCCATCAGCTGGAGCAGCACAGTATCCTACCCTTCCCCTGGGAAATACACCCCATGCCAGTCCTCACTGCTGCTCAGCTCTGCTCTGACAGGGTCCTTCCCCTGGCGGAGCCCAGAGGGGCAGTGCTGGGGACAGGTACAGTCCAGGCAGTGGCCCTGATGCTCCAAGCTGCCAGGACACATGCTGTCCCCTCCTTGCAAACCATCCCCATCACTCAGCATGTCTGAGCTGTTTCTGTAGTCACCTCTGGCTTCTCCTGTCTCTGGAGATCCATAGCCATCTGGGTCTTTCAGTTGCTGCCAAACGAAGGGATTCTGGTCACCCTTGCACTGGAAGAAGCTGCAGCTTTTTTCCTCACCCTCTGTAGCTTTCAGAGCTGCAGGTTTGCTGGTGTCTCTGAGCCTGGCCTCTCTAATGCAGGCCATTTCCTGCAGGCACTGGATTGTCTCAGGTAAAAAGAGAACTTGGCTTTGGATCCAGCTCAGTTTTGTCTTATCCTGCTCAGAGGAGATAAGGTAGGGGAAAAGACCTGGGATGAGGGTGCACGTGCAGAAATGGGGGTGTGGGAGCTTGTGAGAGATTTGGAGTACAGAGCTCACCTTGTACAAGTCCTCACGTCCTTCCCATCCCTGGCCAGCTTGTTTTCCCAAAGCTGTCAGTCACCTGCTGCCAGCACCATACATACTGCTTTCAGTGATGTACTTTTTTCGAACATCAGAGCCCTGCTCTGATATTCAAAGACCCAAGTGTTCTCTTGAAGCCTTGCTGCACAGGTAACCCCAGAGCTGCAGTGTCCTTTTGCTTTGTAAAAACTAGCCCATGAATCACCCCATCAAAGAGAAGACTCACATTTCTATGCGTTATACCTGTAATGGTGATGTGCGGCAAATTCTAATTTCCTGCTTTTTGCTGGTCTCTCCCTTTCTCCCCTGCCTGGTTCTGTCTGCTGGACACTGGGCTGGGAGGTCATAAGCGGTCTGAGCACAGCAAGGGAATACAAGTGTTCCTTGGCAGGTGAGTGATGGGAGGACATCTCCCTGGGTAGCATTGCCAGGTGGCTCTGGAGATGACATGTGGCTTTTCTTTCCTTCCTTCCTTATCTCTGCCACTACCCAGTGCCCATCACAGTGAGGGAGCACCAGCGGCCACAATGCACTGTCAGGCAAACAGAGGTGTAGCTTTATCTATGTGGAAAAGTATGTATGCTGAGCCCTTTGATAGTGGTCCAGTAGCCTGTAGAGCTGTTGTTTCCATTCACAGACTCAGCAGGCTGCATCCTGGTGTCTGCGTGCAGATGGAAGAGCTTGTGCGTGAAAGGAGCACTTGTGCACTTAGCGAACATTGCCTGAGCCATGCTGGGCCAGCTGAGAAAGACCCGTCCTGGGGTCTTCCACACCTTCCAGCTCCTTCTGCCTTGTCTTAACCCCAGCACCCCAACACCACTCTGGCTGACAGATATTTTTCCTGTTCTCCCAGTGCTGGACCAGCTCCTGCCAGAGCTCAGTGTCTTGCTCAAGCTGCTGGACCATGAGTACCTGAGTGCCACCACACAGGAGAAGAAACTGGCTGTCTCCACCATCCTGCAGAAGCTGCAGCCACCCACAGGTCTGTGTCCTGCTCCCTCTGTGCCCAGTCGTTGTCCCCAGGAGCAGTGGGTGTCCCCACAGCAGCTGCCCTGACCTAAAATCCCTGCAGGGCAGGGAAAACCATCTGCAGGGCAGGGATGAGCTGCCTTCATGCCCAGCGCCCAGCACCTGCTCAGCCTCCTCAGGGTGCTTTAGTCCCTACTCTCACTTCCCAGCTTCTCCCTGCCCTGGGTGTTGGGGCTGGCGTCAGCGCTGTGTTGCTGTAGGGGAGTTGCTCCCTGCGGAAACGCCACTTCGCAGAGGTCTTCCTGCCACCGGTTTCTGCTGAGTGCAGGGGTTTCCGCGGGAAGGCCGGGAGGGCTGTGCACCTGGGGCTTCACAGCCTTCCCACCTTCCTGCCCTCCTGGGGGCAGCGCGGCAGCATCTCTGGGGGCTCCTTCACTCCCTGGGTGTCTTTTCCAGAGGAGTGCCCCATGGCACACTGGCGTGGGCTGGCCTGTGTCCTTGGGTTGGTGTTTGCAGGGAGGAGGGGTGCCGGTGCTCACCCCAGCCACCCCACCCACCCCTGGGCTGAGACCATCCCCCTTGCTCCCAGGGAAGGACGTGGACTACATGTACGTCAACACGACATCACTGAGCAATGGCACCAGCTTCGTGGAGTCTCTCTTTGAGGAATTTGGTACGTGTGTGTGACCCAGAGTGATGCCCCAGGGCATCGTGCTGGATGAGTGCAGTGCTGCTCCTGGGGTCCCCACTGACAGCAGGGGCTCTTAAGGTACCCCAAGGAAGAAGGTGAAGCCTCTATCCTTGTGTCCAGGATGGGCATCATCATCTCGGGCACCTGCTCCTGCTCCCTCATTGCTGTTTGGGGGCTGGCCATGGGGGATCCAGGGACCAGCTGTTTACCAGTGATGTCCATCTCCCAGCACTGTCCCAGTGTAGGACCATGGGTGCTGACCTTGGGTATCTCTGTAGAGGCTTGGCTGGGGAGGTCAGCTTTGGTGCTTCCTGCTCCCTTCACCCTCTCTGCTTACCTCTGGGCAGACTGTGACCTGCGGGATCTCCAAGACATGCAGGAGGAAGAGGAGGACACCAGTGATGGCATTGGCTTGGAGCCAGCGAGGAGCCAGACAGCAAAAACTGTAAGTCCCTGAATGCCTGCCTGCGAGGTCTGCTCTGCACCCGCGTGGGGTGGTGGCAGTGGCAGGGCTGGGATCCCTTTCTGTCCCTTGCCACTGCAGTAGCTGCGGGAACTCAAGGTTCCTGTGGACCTTGCTCCGCCGCTGCCCACCACTCCCCCCCCTGAGGATTATTATGAGGAAGCCCTGCCCCTGGGCCCTGGCAAGGCCCCTGAGTACATCACCTCCCGCAGTGAGTCCTGCCCAGCACCAGGGTGGCAGGAGGGTGGGGGGAGCCCTGCAGACTGCCCGCTGCATCCTCCCACCTGGCAAAGCAGCCCTTGGCCGGCATGATGGCTTGTCCTCGGGCTGCTCCCGCCTGCCTCAATTCTGTCCCTCTCCCCATCTCACTGCACTGTTGTTTGCTCTGGCTTGACTGGGAACGGGGTGGTGGGTAGAGATTGCAGCAGCAGGGAAACAGATTCTGAGATGCCCTGGGAGGGTGTGCTTTCTTCTGCCCGGCTTGCAGGCTCACTACTCAGAGCATCCTTGGGGAGAAAACAGGTCTAACAGCCTCAGCTGGCCTCTGCTTCCTCCATAGACAGCTCCAGCCCCCCCAACTCCATCGAAGATGGCTATTACGAGGATGCAGACAGCAACTACCCTGTCACCAGGATGAACGGGGAGCAAAAGAACTCGTGTAGGTATCCAGGTGTCCTCACTGGGGAGGGGAGAGCTTCAGTGAAGCCCAGATCTGAGATGGGGGCTTGAGCACTGGGCTGAGGGGGTAGAAAGTTTAATCCAGGCTTTCAAAGTTTGAGCCTTACAAATAAATAAGCCAGCCTAGGGGTTTGGATAGATGCACCTGGAACTGGTGTTTGGCCCACAGGCATCCTGCCTAGTTTGGAAGGGAAGTGGGGACAGCTGGGGTCACAATGCTGCGATTTTCCATCCATCCCAGCATCCAGCTCAGACTGTGCTGGAGCCCACTAGGCACGGGGAGACCTGGCAGCATGCGAGTGTGCTTGGCAGGCAGGGCCCTGGGGTGCCATTCTGGGTGACTCGCCCACTTCCTTCCAGACAACGACTCGGATGCAATGAGTAGCTCTTATGAGTCCTATGACGAGGAGGAGGAGGAGGGCAAGGGCCAGCAGCTGACACATCAGTGGCCATCAGAGGAAGCCTCCATGAACCTGGTGAAGGATTGCAGGATTTGTGCTTTCCTGTTGCGCAAGAAGCGTTTTGGACAATGGGCCAAGCAGCTCACCATCATACGGGACAGCAAATTGCTGGTGAGCCCAGAACTGGTGGGGGACAGAAACCTGCTGGTGGATTCTGAGGGTGGTTGAGTCCAAGCTGAAAAAAAATAACATTAGTCAGGTCAAGACCCTGCTCCAAGGCTGCCACATGCAGAGGCTTCCCTTGCGAGTGAACAGAGTGCTCCCCTCTTTGGGGACCTCAGGGAATGAGAGGGCACCCTGCAGCCTTCTGCCACTGAGGCTGTTGCAGAGGGGGACTTTGAGAGGGACCCCAGCTCGGCATGTCATGGCAGTGGGATGGGCAGGTTTTGGCTGAGCCCTGAGCAGGTCCCTTTGCTTCCCCTAGTGCTACAAAAGCTCCAAGGACCGTCAGCCACATGTGGAGGTGCCCCTGGGCACCTGTAACGTCATCTATGTCCCCAAAGATGGGCGGCGCAAGAAGCACGAACTGCGGTTCTCGCTGCCGGGGGCAGAGGCGCTGGTGCTGGCTGTGCAGAGCAAGGAGCAGGCTGAGG